CGAGCCCTCTCCTTTTCGCTTCCGGAAACATGGCCTCCGGTATGGCTGTGTGATGGTGTCATGAACATGTTCAACGGCATGAAGGTGCGTAAGTCTTCAATGCCAGAGGAGGTGAAGAAGCACAAGAAGGCAGTGCTCTTCTGTCTTGGTGAGGACAAGAAGAACGTCATCAAGAAGATCCTGGTGGGCAATGTGGGCCAGACTATCGACAACCCCTGTGCCACCTTTGTCAGGATGCTGCCAGATAAGGACTGCCACTACGCCCTCTATGACACAGCCTACAGGACCAAGGAGAGCAAGAAGGAGGACCTGGTGTTTATCTTCTGGGTCCCTGAGTCTGCGCCCCTTAACAGCAAAATGACCTATTCCAGCTCCAAGGATGCCATCAAGAAGAACCTGACAGGGGTCAAGCATGAATTACATGCAAACTGCTATGAGGAGGTCAAGGACCGCTGCACCCTGGCAGAGAAGCTGGGGGGCAGTGCGGTCATCTCCCTGGAGGACAAGCCTTTGTGAGCCCCTTCTGGTCCCCTGCCTGGAGCATCTGGTAGCCCCACATCTACTGTTGGGGGTTGCAGGCTGTTCCCTTCCTCTCAGACCTGAAGGGCTGGGGAGGATCCCAGCAGAGGGAGTGCAATCCCTTCACCCCAGTTGTCAAACAGACCCCCCACCCCCTGGATTTTCCTCCTCCCTCCATCCCTGATGGTTCTGGTCTTCCCAAACTGCTTTTGATCTTCTGATTCCTCTTGGGTGGAAGCAAACCAAATTCTCCCCAGGCACCCCAGTTGTGGGGGTGGCCTGTATTTTTTTTAACAACACCCCCACTCCCCACCTGTTCCTCCCCCTTCCTATGCTGCCAACTTCTAACCGCAGTAGTGACTCTGTGTTTGTCTGTTTAGTTCTGCGTATAAATGGAATGTTGTGGAGATGACCCCTCCCTGTGACAGCTGGTTCCTCTCCCTTTTCCCCTGGTCACTGCTACTCACGGAAGCAGGACCAGTAAGGGACCTTCAATTAAAAGAAAAAAAAAAAAAGAAGAAGGAGCAGAGGGTACAGATGCAAGAAGTATTTGTTGGGAGACATTCTCCATGAGTCCCTTCGGTTTCTGCACATCTCGTGAGCAAAGCACAGGCTGCCCTTGGTTCCAGACTAACTTTTCAAAGATGTTTATATGGAGAACAGCCTTGGAAGAAATGATCTCCCTCTGGAGCAAAGGTGAAGCATCTTTGTTACCCAATAGAAAAGATTTGGTTTCCTTAAGTTCAGAATTCCTCTCCTGTAACACAATGCACTGCATGTATGGATGTCACCTGGCCATCTTCATGACATCCTATGGGAGTTGGGTCTTGGAGAAACACTCTGGCTATTGCTATTGCTATGACTAATAAAGTTCTTTGTCTTTAACCCAGGAATCCTTAGTCTTTTGCCAGCATCCATGTAACTGTGGCAGGCAAGTTCATTTGCAAGATAAAGTCTCAAATCCTTCACAGTTCTTGATGATATTTAGGGGGAAAAAGTCAGCAGGATTGGTGAATGGCCAAATGTAGAACATTAGGGAGAAAATGGAATCAAAGATTACTTGTGGTTTTTTTGTTTGTTTGAAGGTTGAAGTTTGGACAGTGGTGTGAATGGTTACTTTAGACAGTGGTGTCACCAACAGAGGTGGAATATATAACAGGTACAAGAATGTAATATGTAGTGAGGCATAGTGGGTGCTGAGGATGAGATAATAATTCAGTCTGGAGACCTATGAGACATCCATGTGGAAGTATCCAACACAGAGATGAATAATGAAGACAAAAGGGTAAGGGCTGGGGTTAAAGATATATGGGGGTCATTAGCATCAGGGTGTAGCTAAACCCATGATATTGGATAAAATCCTCTTACATATAGAAACCATCATATTCATCCTTAGTCCCCTGCAGAGAGCTTTGCACAATGCATATGCTCAATAAAAGTGTGTCAATGAAATAGCTAAAAACAGATCCAGAATTAGTTGTATCCTTTATTTAAATTAAAATTGCTTCAGTGGTTATCGAAGTAATGCTAATTCAGGTTTTCTCAAATCAGAGTCTCAAATACAGGGTCTGTACATTTTTTTCACGTGAAATACAACCAGTTTCATACACAAATAATTACAAATTCATCATTCTCATAGATGTAATATGGAAGCAGAACAAAATTCTAAGACTCATAATTTCATTGATTAAAAAGCAGTATTGTTGGTTATCTTACTGGAGAAAAAAATTCTACTATCCACAGGATCACTTCTACCTTCATTCATTTAAAAACACAAAAAACTGGCTGGGCACAGTGGCTCATGTCTGTAATCCCAGCACTTTGGGAGGCTGAGGCCAGTGGATCATGAGGTCAAGTGATCAAGACCATCC